GGACTCTTTGAGGTCTGAAGACAGAGCACCCATTTGCCAGGAAGTTGTTTCCTGTGTGGCTCCAGGAAGGCAGGCATTCCCTGATGGAGGCTTCGCCTTATCTGGAGCTGGGGGATTGGTCCCAGGGTCTAGGTGACTGGCTCAGAGGCAGGCGCATTCTCCAGCGCCATCCCTAGCAAGCTGGGCCAGTCCTCAGTCTCATGCAGCAAAGCCCCGATGCAGCAAAACAGCAGTGAGAGCTTTAGAACAGGCTGGGAGCTCAGGGTCTTTTGGACTTGGCAGTAGGATGACCTGAGAAATGCTAAAATTGTTTGGGTTTTAACCCACGAAGGAGCTTTTGGCCTTCATGACTATGTAGGCAGTGCAGCAACCTTGGAGGACACTGAAGGAACCCAAAGATGCCTGTCCCTTCAGCCACCCCAGTGCCACTGGAAGAAGGCACAGTCATTGTATTAGCACACAACCCACCCGTACATTGTGTGCTTATGTCCAGAGCTGCAAATGCCCTTTCACTCTGCCTCACCCACTGGCGTTTGATGTCTCTTAATGTACATTCCACTCTTGCCCCCTAGTTTTGTGGAGGCCAGCACTCTGGGGGGTTCAATCCGTAGTCACCTGCACACCCTTCCCTGAGCAGGTACGAGTCTTCTCTCCATCTCCGTCTTCCTTAGCTTCTCTCCCATCTCCACCCGCCATATTACATTCACCCGACTTGCTCTCTTTCTCTCTCTTACTAGGGGCTCCTCCTCCCCATCCGTTCCTCAGCCTTGGACTGGGTTTGGACCTGCTCCTTCCTAATTCTTTGTCAATCTAGCCATCTTTACCATGTCCCCCTACTCTGCTTCCCCATTCCCGACACTCTGTTGCCCATCCTTAACCACACCTGAATTTAACACCCTTCCCCTAGATTTCTTAAATCTCGTTGATTCTTTAACACTCTTTCTTGACACTCCCCATCAATACCCCTCCTCACGTGTCCTATTAATCCCCTTTTCTTCCCTGTGGGATGAGCTGGGAAAATGGCAGCAATGATTAGCAGTGGCCCTTCCCTAAACAGCTGGGCTTCCTATTGTGTAGACAAACACAGGACACAAAGGAAGGTCTACTGTGTTTTTTAAATTGTGGGTCACCACTCATTAGTGGGTCCAAAACTCATTTTAGTGAATTACAACCAACATTAAAAAGAGAAAAAGAGTTGGGGGAACAAAGAGAGAAAGAAATAGAAAATATTGGAGGTCATCACCCATAGAAAGGGTAAGCATTGTCTTGTGACACTTTTGTTCCAGTCATTTCTGTGTTGCGTTCCAAGTCTCAATATAAAACATATTTCTTACTGTGGTTGCAACCAAAAAAAGTTTGAAAATCCCTGGTCTAGGGCCGAGCCCGTGGCGCACTCGGGAGAGTGTGGCGCTGGGAGCGCAGCAGCGCTCC